ATTTGTGGCTATTGTAAAGGGTGATGTTTCTCTGACTTCTTTCTCAGCCCTTTTATCATCCACATCTTTTTATTCCAAACACAATGCAATAGATAGCTTCTCTGTACACATTCTCCTATGAAGAAATCAGACTTCTGGTAGGGACAAATTGAGCGAATACAATCAATTCAAATCCCACCTTTTAAAAAGCTCTTTAGCCACAAATACCAAAGTACCCCCATCCCTTTTTCAGACTCAAACAAGAAACATTATTTTTGATAAACTCTAGTATTTATTAAATTATAAAGTTTTTTTTTAATCAAAAAGAAAAATACAGACTAAGAGAAACCTCAAATGGTCCTCATCTGACTCTTGCACTACCTTATTTTTCTGCATGGATTGGTATAAAATCATTACTAAAACTTGGCACCTGTGAGATATTTGATGCCATTTCCTTTTTGATAGTAATATATTCCCATTTTACAGACCAGGAAACCAAGGATCTGAAAGACTAAAGTCACAGAACCAGGAAGTTCTCAGGACTCTAAATCAGTTTTGTCTGATTTCCATATTTTCAATTATGTTAGGTCTAAGTTCTTAAGCCAGATTTGGACTCTTACACCTTCACAATGTAGCATGCAGCTGTTAAAAGTGCCTTGGAGACGTGATGAGAAGCTGTGACTTTAGCTCTCGACGGCAGGGGCATTGCTGTCATTCTTTTAAGCCTGAGCACTCACCGAGGGATCTAGGTTTTCCTTAGCCCTCTGAGGACTGGATGTTCTTTAGCACTCAGCACACACACACACATCTGCCGTGTGGCCTGGTGCGCATGCACTCATTAGTTCCCCTTCCCGACTGTGTGCTCCTTGGCGATGGGGACTGTGGTCTTTGTTTCCTTAGCAGCTAACAAAGCCTGTCACATGGGAAACATTCAGTCATTGAAGACTGACAGGTTCTTGAATGTGACTATACAATCCAGTTGTGTAGGACACAATTCCTAAAAATTAGGGAAAGGGCTTTTAATTAATAAAACACTGTTGCTGGACCCCTTTTCCCATATGTGGTAGGCTCTGTCCTAGACATTCTGACTAGTGAACATAATGGTTAGTCTTTGCAATAGTTCTGACTCCAGCTAGGTGAAAAGGTCCTAAAGTACTTTCAGGATGCACACACAGCTTACCTATATGTGTACATGCACACACACTAAGAGAAATATTCATAGCATGGAATAGGGTACATGAAAAAGTGTGCAATGTCAACATAATGCTTTGCTTCAGCCTGGGAAGATGGCTCAGCAGGTAATGCTCACTGTGCAAGCCTGAGAACCCCAGCACACCATGTGTGGCAGCACACACCTGTAATCTCAGCACGGGGAGGTGGAGATTGATGAACTGATGAGAGACCCTGTCTCAAAAAATATGTTGGAGAGTGATAGAAGAAGGCACCTGACATCAGCCTCGGGCTTCCACAACCGCCCATAGCAACTGTACCCACACACAATGCCTATGCGTGCGTGTGCATACACACACACACACACACACACACACACACACACACACACACAAATAATAATGAAATTGAAGCTTGTCCATCATCCTAGATTTGAACCCATTTTTCCCTGTCTGGTTCTCAGTTCTTCTAACAGGCACTTCATGTAGTGTTTGGTATAATTTTTCTATAGTGGAAATGTGATTGTGTCCTTCCCTGCTTACAACACTTCTCATTCCTTCTCACCTCACTGCTTCCCACTCTCTTAGGATTAGCTAATGTCTTCTGTGGCTTGCTAGGTGCTCATGGTCTGGCACCCTTCCCCTATTTTAACCCATCCTGCCCTTCCCTCCTCTCTGCTTCAAGGTTGGATTTCTACTTCAAGACCTTTGCTTAGACTCCGCAGAGCTTGACTGTTCTTGTGCCTTCCCTCACCCACTTTCCTTTCTCTTTTCATCCCTCCCTCCCTCTTTGTCTTTTCTTCCTTTATTTTGAGATAGGGTTTCATGTAGCCCAGGTTGGTCTTGATTATGTAGTCGAAGCTTCTGCCTCCCTCTCCAGGTGCTGGGTTAATGGTGTGTGCCGCTGTGTTTAGTCAATTCTGTGCTGGGGATTGACTGGGGCTTCGCGCTTGCTAAGCAAGCTCTCTACCAGCTGAGCTACAGCCTCAGCCAGCCCCAGGTTTTTCTTGGGTGTCATCTTGATTATTACTTCTTTAAGAAAGCTTATTAAATCCTTGTGCTATATATTCAGGAGAAATAAAGGGTATATATGTTCCCTTTCGTAACACACATTCCTTATTCTTGTATTTATTTCACAATGACTTTCAGATTATGTTCTGTATTATGTTAAGTTCTATAAGGCAGTGCTGCTTCTGTCTTCATTAGTGGTCCAGTCCTAAGAGCTAGCCCAGTCTGCAGTATGTTCCAGGTAGATGCTGCTTGATCTGGGTTGTGTGCCAGCCCTCATGGACAAGCTTCTTCCTAGAACAGCAGGATGAGCGGCATCCTGGCATGGGCTTCTTTCTTGGCTCTTTGCTGCAATAGCTCAGCATAAAGAGCTGTTTGTTTTACCGATTCGTTGCTCTGCATTGGGTGAGGTTTTCTAAATGTTGTATCACTAGGCATTCACATCTCCCAGCTTTTCAGAGATGGATTTGTTTTCTGGTGATTCTCATTTCATTTTTGTCTCTGGGGTGGGGATGGAGGTGTGGGGATAATAGCTGTGACCTTGAGCTGGAATTGGGCTAGAAGAGCAGCCTGCCAGCTTGTGTTCGCCTGCGGTCTGAATTGTGCAGCTGCTGCTCCTCCTGATTTGCCTGCTTCCTTTGCTTAAGCAGCTGCCTGGGGGACAGAAATATTCATCAAGGAGCGGCTTCCAGGCCTAGAGCAGACCAGCCTGTGTTTCATGGAGTGTGAAAGTACCACTCAGCATCACTGGCTGTGAGGCCACTCTTTCTTTACCTTAAAGAAAAAGATCCATTTTCAAAAGAGTCGGAGTCTAGCTTTGTGTGTTTCTGACTGTTTGTTTGGGCAGCACTGGGGACTGAATGTGGGGTCTAACGCATACCCCGAAGGCTCTCTTCCCCGGCGTTCCCTGGTATTTGCTGTGCGGGGGAGGGAGTCCAAAGAGAGCACTAGCCACTGGGTTGACTCTTCAGGTTTTCACTTCTCCCTTTCTGTATCTGCTCGTTGACCAGCTCTTTATTCAGCATGGAGAACTGGAAAGTAAAGAGAATATAGATAAGTGAAGAAAAATTACCTGGACTCTAACTACTTAAAGACATGGTCTACTTTGAAATGACCAGATTTCTCAGATTTATCTTTATTGATTCTTAGTTTTCTCATTTATCCATTCAGATGGGAACTCACTATGTAGCCAAACTGGCCTTGAACATCTAATCACCCTGCCTCCACCTCCCAAGTGCTGGTATTACAAGTGTGTGTGTGGGGAGGGGGGCAGCTGTCTTCCTCAGTTGGTCTCCACTTTATTTTTTGAGGCAGGGTCTCTCATTGAACCTCACGCTCAGTGATGCAACTAGATTGGCTGGTAAGCAAGCCCCAGGGACCCCTCTGTCCCCACCTTTCAAACTCTGGGCATCCAGGCACTCACTGCTATGCCTGGAGTTTGAACTGGTGCTGGGATCCGAACCCAGGCCCTCATGCTTGCAGAGCAGGCACTTTACTGACTGAGCCAACTCCCCAGCTTCTCCTGGTCTCTTTGTAAGCAATAAGCGCCTGAATCTTTTTGGTTTTTCGAGTCAGGGTTTCTCTGTGCAGCCCTGGCTGTCCTGGAACTCACTCTGTAGACCAGGCTGGCCTTGAACTCAGAGATCCACTCTCTGCCTCCCGAGTGCTGGGATTAAAGGGGTGTGGTATCGCTGCCTGTCGTTATTAGTATTTCCTTTCTCTTTGGTTTGATGAGCTTTTCGGTGAAATAAATGCAACATTAATACCTTATTTCCACGTAGCCATTAGTTCAGTCTCACCCCCATATCGGATCCTCAGAATGTGCTCACGGAGGCTCAAATTGTAATCTCATTTACTCATGGAGCTCAGAGGGGAGAGTGGCCTACCCAAGCTCATATTGTTGATAAATGGCAGACTCCAAGCACACTGCTCTTTTCCCTGTAGCGCTCGGCCTGCTGACGCTAACAGAGTAGCATAGACTTGGCAGTAGTGATTCCCAACCTAGGTGACTGAATCATTCTGTCCCACTGGAGGAGCCTCATGGCATTCAGTGGGTAGAGGCGGGAATACATAGGCCAGCACCCACAATGAGAATTGCTGGTCTGGAAAGTTACTAGTGCCGACGTTGAAAGAGCTATTCCAGAACTGTTGGATATAACACCTTATTTCTCTGGAGCAAGCAGTGATCAGGGCTCACCTCCAAAGTATACCTAGGTGCTGAGCTGGATTCCCTTAGAGCAGACTCTTGTTCGGAAGCAGCAAATACGTATTATCACCAGGGTTATAGTCAGGGTCTTGTGTCAGTCAGTGTCAAGGGCACAGAAAGGTACTGAACACAGTGTGTTCCCTCAGGGTTCAGAGATGTCTGGAAAAGGTGAAGGTGTCTGCTTACCTTGACACTGGCTGTAGGAGATGTGACATGGAGCAGTGGTTGTACTCACGGATGACCCTGGTAGACAGGGTGCTGCTGGCCTGAGTGGACACTCAACAGCTAACTCTTCTTCTGCAGTTACGCGATGCCCACCAAAACCATGGAGGTGATGCGGCTACCAGCCCAAGGCAACAAAATGGTCCTAGACTCAGTCCTTACCACCCATGAGCGAGTGGTTCAGGTAGGCACTCTGGGGGATCCCCAAGTGCTTTTGCTTCTCTGGTTCCCACCCTCCCTCTTTCTTTCCATTTGTCCCACATTTTTTCCTCATGTCCTTCCTGCCCTTAAACGATGGTGTACTCCAGAGCTGGGTTCTTGACTCCTCTACCTTTCCTGTTAGGAAATTGTATTTGTTCCCCAAGCTTCATTGTATACCAATACCCCTAGGTGTACACACACACACAAACACACAAACACACACACACACACACACACACACACACACACACACACACACACACCTGCCTGATCTGTTGGCTGAGTTCAAATATAATAGACCTAGTTGTCCAGTGGACTTTTGTGAATGTTCCACAGTGTATTCGCTGACCTCATTGTATGGGAAATTAATTGTTCAGGACAACTTCTCAAAATCCTTTGAGCCTAATCTTTAATCCTTCTTTGTCTTCTGATACTTGTTCAAGATGGCACTTCTTTTTGTGGCCAAGTAATATTCCATTGTATGGAATTTTATTTACATTTCCATTGTATTCCCCTTTTAATCCACCAAAGAACCTTATCAGCAAGGCAGTAAGATTGTTGAGGGAGCAATACCCAAATCTAAACATGCTCATTTTAAAATGACTTTGAAATGTTCAAGTCTTTAAATGGTAATTTGCTTGTGATGTGCGCTCGGTGGCTGTCACTTGCTGCCGAGGCCCACAGGCTGACGTCTGTAGCACCAGTGCATTGTGGGTTCCTCCTGGCTCCTTGACGGCTGCTGTCCCTTTCACTCCAGCCACAGGCGCTTACCTGGATTTTCTAATGCCGCTCTACAGTCCACAGTTTACTGAGTGCTGCGCCCTCAGCCCTGAAAACTAACCATGCTACTGTCTGAGTCTCCTGAATTAATCCATTTCCTCCAAAACTTCACCCAGACTTTATCCACTCTTGAAGCTTTCTTTGACTTTCCCTTGACTGAGTTAAGTTGTTATGTCCCTTGTGGTCCTCATAGTACTCTTTGTGCCTTTCCACCACACATCTGACTCACCTCTGGATTCTTGAGTCAGGCCTGACACCAGCACCTGGCCAGTGTGGTAAACCCGAATTGCATCAGAAAATCAGTATTGGTCTGGTTGTGACATTCCCTGCCTACAGGAACATTGGCAAGCAAACATCTCAACAAACAGCAAGAAGTCCTGCAGGGACTGGGCTGAGTGTCAGTCTCCCCCTGGAGCTGCAGGGAGCCCTGCTTGCCTGTCACCTGGCCTTCAGCACCCTCCTTAGGCATCTTTCTTCCTTTGCAGATCAGCGGTCTGAGTGCTACGTTTGCAGAGATTTTCTTGGAAATACTGCAAAGCAATCTTCCAGAAGGAGTCAGGTTGTCAGTGAGGGAGGTAGGTACCAGTGTGGAAAGAGGCTCCTGGTGGCCTACGTGTGCTCACAGCGAGGGTCAAGAAGTCAGCGCTGCTTGGCTTTTGAAACAACAGAGGACTGTGTGTCTCCGCTGCTGTCAAGAGAGCTGTGCAGCCGGGGGGCCCTGTGACCATCACTCTAAAGCCTCCGAGGTGTCAGGGATGATGCTGTGTGTACCACAGGAACTGGCCTGCATCACAGCATCCTGACGCTAGGGGCTGAGCCCATTACCTCCAGATTCTCTCCTTTCAGGTAGCTGAAAAGCAGAAACATGTTTTAAGATTTTAAACAGTATAATGCAGTGGTTCTCAACCTTCCTAACACTGTGACTCTTTAATACAGTTCCTCATATTTTGGTGACCCCCAACCATATAATTATTTTTGTTGCTACTTCATAACTATAATTTTGCTACCGTTATGAATCATAATGTAAATATCTGTGTTTTCTGATAGTCTTAGGCAACCCCTGTGAAAGGGTCATTTGACCCCCAAAGGGGTCACGATCCACAGGTTGAGAACCACTGCATCAGAGCATTTAGACATTTTCTAGACTGCCAAGGCACGGTTATAGCTCCATTGAATGTATCTGGTAAAGAATGAGAAGCATGCAGAAATTAGCAACATTAGCCCAAATACTGGGTGTTAAATCTAGTTGCCATGACAATCCTTCTCATGACACAGTTCCCATTAGGTCATGTTAGCCTGGTGTCATTGCTTCATCCAGCTCGCCTTGTTCTGTGCATACCTGTCTGGTGGTTATTTCAGTTTCACAGAGATCTGTGTATGGGGCGAGAATGTGCTGGTTGTGCTAAAAATACTACAGTCCTTGTGCATGTAATCCCAGCACTCAGCAGGCAGAAGCAGGAAGATTGAGGTTTGAGGCTAGCCTGGTCTATGTAGCAGATTCAGGGTCAGCGTGGTCTCCATACCAAGACCCTGTCTCAAAAAAGCAAACAAGGCTGGTGAGATGGCCCAGCAGATAAAGGTACTTGCTGCCAAACCTGACAGCCTGAGGTCAGTTCCCAGGACCTCATGGTGGAGGGAGAGAACTGACTCTCAAATGTTGCCCTCTGACTTCCATGTGGGTACACGTGCACACACACTCTACACACACACACACACACACACACACACACACACACACACACACTAATAAAAAAAAAAAACAAAGTTTCTAGACCATATGGCTCAGTGGTAGTGTTACCTTGTATGTGAAAGGCCCTGGTTCCCAACATGATGTAAAACCAAATAAAAACCAAAAATAACTAGACAACTTCTGTTGTGATACTTAGAGCACCCTGTTTACATATCTGTCTTGTTTCAGCACACTAAGAGGAAGTGTGATTCACCCATGATTCCTGGTACTCAATTCAAGTCTGGGTCATGCTACATACTCATTGAGAAAGGGCTGGCTGTGAATGACCCTGTGCAGAGCTGCCCAAGGGCCCTTTTTGGATGTGTATGGGTAATAAAAGTTCTGTAGTAATTGCCATTTTTTTTCTTTCCTTGTCCCAGCACACCGAAGAAGACTTCAAAGGAAGGTTCAAAGCTCGGCCAGAACTGGAAGAATTGTTGGCCAAGTTGAACTAAACACTGTGAGCCCTTTCATGCCATTATCAGTTTCAGAGAAGTTCATCCTGCTTGATCAGAAGAAGCAGGAGAATGATGCTTATACTGGGAATGCCTTCTGGGTCTGTGACATGCTGTGCTTGCCAGTTACCACTTACCTTAACAAAGCCTAGGGCATTCTCCACCTAATAAAAATCTGCTGTAACCCACTGTGTGTGTGTGTGTCTGTGTGTGTATATGTATGTGTGTGTGTCTGTGTGTGTATGTATGTGTGTGTGTCTCTGTGTGTGTGTGTCTCTGTGTGTGTGTGTGTGTGTCTGTGTGTGTCAGTTATCCTGTAAACTGTCTTAAAGGAATTCTGTTTCTCCTTATCTAAACATGTTCTTATTCCACCATACTTTTTCAATTAGAGTGAATCCATCCTTTAAAGCAATCTGGTGTAAACTAATTGTTTGTTTATTTGTTTGTCTTATGTCAAGGTCTCTATGCAGTCCTGGCTGTTTTGGAGCTTGCTGTAGAGATGAGGGTAGCCTCAAACTCACAGAGATCCACTGCCTCCTTACCCCCAACTCCCACCCCCTAAATGCTGGGATTAAAGGTATGTGCCACTGTGCCCTGTAGGAACTCATCTTTTGAAAGAACATGGCATGAAGTTTTATAATGAATTAGTGATTATAACTTTAGTGAACTCTGTATTTGTCTATTTTCTGTTGCTATAGTGAAGTTCCTGGGGCTGGGTTCTTTATAAAGAAGAAAATGCAACCAGTTTTGATAATACTCACCTGTGCTCCCAGCATTTAGGAGGTAAAGGCAGGAGGACTAGGAGTTCAGGATCATTCACAGGTATATAGTGAGTTCAAGGCCAACTTGGGTCACATGAGTCTGTATCCACATACATACATATGTACATGCATACAAGATATTTGCTAAGTGTAGTGGTGTGTATCATCCCAGTATTCAGGAGATTGAAGCAGGAGTATTGCAAGTTCAGAAAACTGACCTTGATCAGGGGCCAAGAAACTGTGATCTATGAACCAAATCCTGTCTTTGCCTATTTGGGGATTTTTGTTTGTTTTTTCGAGACAGAGTCTCAGTGTGTAGCTCTGGCTGTCCTGGAACTCACTCTGTAGACCAGGCTGGCCTTGAACTCACAGAGATCCACCTGCCTCTGCCTCCTGAGTGCTGGGATTAAAGGTGTGCGCCACTATACTTGGCCCTATTTTTGTTCTATAATAACTTATTGCGGTAACATTTACATACCACAGAACTAGTGATTGTAGGACTAGAAAGATGCTCAGTGGGTAGGGATGCTTGCTGCCAAGCCTGTGACCTTAGTTTGGCTCCTGGGACTCAAAAGGTAAAAAGAACCAACTCCTGAAAGTTGTCTGCTGACCTCTGAATGCTACACACGCATACCCAAAACAAGTAAGTGTAATAATACGGTCTAAATCAGCCATTTTAAAATGCACACTTCAGTGTTCTGTAATATACTCACAGTACTTTGTAACCACCACTTCTGGTGGGGGCCAGCTTCCGTTTAGTCAGTAAAGGTTTGTTGGGAGAGAGCCATGGTCATCCATCCACTCACTGCTGCCTCCGCTGCGCTGGTGCTGCAGTGGGGGACCGAGCAGTTACACAGACACCGGCTGGCTTGTCCATTGGAAACGTCGTCAAATCTTCGGCTACATCATTGTTTCTCAAACTGTGCTCATCAGGGTCTCTGCGTCAGGGTTTTTGAGCACTATTCACTCAACTGCCATAGAGTTTTTCCGTCCTGTAGGTGAGGAGCAAAGGTTTTGACTTTGCATCTTACTGTTTCCCAGACAATGATGCTGTTGCTAGTCTGGGAACTTCTAGGTGACTCCAGTGTGCCTGCTTCTCTGAGCATCAGTGTCTTCCTGAAGAAGGCTATCTTTGTTTTTGGTTTTTTGAGATAGGGTTTCTCTTGAGTACCCTTGGGTGTCCTGGAACTCACTTTGTAGAACAGGCTGGCCTTGAACTCACAGAGATCTGCCTGCCTCTGCCTTCCAAGTGCTGGGATTAAAGGCATGTGCCACCACCGCCCGGCTTATTTTTTTTTTTTTTTTTTAATAGGTTTATTTTATTATCTTACTGTGTGACCGTACGCTGGTACCCTTTGTGGTCAAAAGAGGATTTCAGGTCCTGTGGGATTGGAGTTACAGAGGGTTGTGAGTCCCTATGTAGGTTCTGGGAATCGAACCTGGGTCCTCTACAGAGCATCAAGTGCTCCTAACTGCTGAGCCAACTCTCTGGACCCTAGAATAACTTACTGAGCCAGATCTTGTGCTAGGTACACTGTAGCTCTCACCCCCTCTAGGCTCTCAGGGTATGACTGTTCCTGGGATCCCAGCTCACAGGAGGCAGAAGCAGAAGAGTTTGTCAGTTCCAGGCCAACCAGGGCTACATGTCAAGACTATTAACTCAAAACAGAACAAAACAAAACAAAACAAAAAAACAACGAAAAATATCACTAAGGGTAGGCTGTCAAGATTTCAGGAACCCTTAATTAAAATGTTCTACTGGGGGTGTGGGCGGGGGGTGGGGTGGGGGTGGGGTGGGTGGGGGTGGGTGGGGTGGGGTTGCGGCCACTTCTGACAACCCGAGTTTGATCTCACAGTAGAGGAGAGAATGCCCACAGATTGTCCTGTGACTTCCACATGTGTGCCATGATACACACTTGGCCACACATATAATATGCACATGCATGCACACATACACACAAATCAATGTAATTTAAAGGCTAAAAAAAAGGATATTGGAGAAAAAAAAGCTCTGATTTAGATACTGTACTCAGCCAGTCAGGATTTTCCAAGCAAACTCCGCTGTGAGTATAGGCAGAATTTCCCAGAGAAGATTGATGTTCTGGTTGTAAACTGCTTGTTGCTGAGTTCTATCAGGGGAAATACAGTAACAATTTCTAACAAGGAGTGTGAGGTCAGGGGTCTATAACAATGTGAAGATTCACAAGTAAATAAATGCATGCACATGTACACACGCGCGCGCGCGCGTGCGCACACACACACACACACACACACACACACACACACACACACTCTGCTCCCATAGCGTGTAGGCAATGTCACATGCACTCCGTTTCCAAACCTAGCAAACAGTCTTCTAATTGCTCAGACTTCCTATTTACCAATATGCGGAAGCAGGACTCACTCGGGATTTCACTGACAAAATATTGTCACCAAAATCCTTAGGAGCCAGCCAGCAGCCCGTGTGACTCAGCAGTGTCAGGCTAAGAGCCTAGAAAGCATGCTTACCCAAGGTCACAGGACAGCTCCTGGCAGAAGGCAGCAGGCCTGTTTCCCATCATTCCTCGGTTCCCATCAGCACGGGTGGGGGGGGTGGGGGGGTGGGGGGGTGGGTCGGGCTTCTCTCTAACAGGAGGCAACTGGACTCTGTCACTTGGGAGCACTTGTGTCACTGACCTAGTTCATGATTTGTCCTCCCCTGGAGTCAAAAGGCCTTTGTTCCTCTGCTCTGGGAAGTGGAGATGGCTCTTAACATTTGTCCTGTCCTGTCGGAGTGACAGGAGATGGTCTGACCACTCGATCCTCAGGGCTCTGAAACAGTCACAGGCTTCACTGGACTCTGCAGAGAGGGGCTGAGGAGATGACTTTCTTAGGGTCTCGTATAATAAAGCCAAATGGAAACACATCCAGCTGCAGGTTGAAAATGCCTGTCCCTTCCTCCTTGGAACAATCTTTTGTTTGCTTGCTTGTTTTTCAAGACAGGCTTTGCCTGTGTAACCGCCCTGGCTGTCCTGGAACTGGATTTGTAGACCAAGCTGGCCTTGAACTCACAGACCTTTATAAGGGGAAAGCAGACAGTCCCGTGGTGTACCCAGCTTCTGCACTACTTTGAGGCCCCTTGTGAGTTGTTGATCCTGGTAAGCTATTGTAACCTCACTGACTTTGTGTTTTCTGACCTGCAAGATGGGCTCACCCCTTCTGGGGGAGTGGGCGGCAGGCAAGAGCTCTGTGAATGCTAGACTCCCTTCCCTCCGGCCAGTGCCTGCTCCAGCTCACAGTGCCCGGTCCCACGCACATTACTAGGACTTTTAGAAAAGACTTTTATGTAGCTCAGTAACTTCCAAGGACAGCATGCCTGAGTCAGAAGGGCAGTTCCCCTAGTTAAGGGCTTAGTCCTTTTCCTCTGGTTGAGGATGCCTTGCTTCTCTTCCTAGGATGCCTGGGGACTAGCCAGTTGTGGATTCTGAAACGGTATATTTTAGTCACAGAGAAAAGGAGGAATGTATGTATTTTGGCCATTTGGGAACAGCAGCAGCACTGAGGACCCTGGTCGCCCATTGCCAGGGCTAATGGATTCAAGGAACAATGTCGGAGTACGCATTGGGCGTGTCTGAGCTAGACCTGCTGGAAACCGTAGGCAGAAGTGGCCAATGTGTCTTGTGTTGATTTCATCTGTGCTTTGATTTCTTTGTGGTGGTTTCCCCTCCACATGCCTACATCACTCTGACCTGCTGAGTATGAAATGATTTACTTAACTCTATACTTCCCTGGAACAACTCATTCTCAGACATTTCCACTCATTTCTGGGACTCGCCTCACCAGACAGTGCCCAGTCTCAAAAGAATGAGAATTCTTTAGAATAATAGCGGCTAAGCAGGAGAAGTCCCTCCACTTCCCCGAAGCTTTAAGGCCTGGCTGGAGCAGAGGAGGGAGCCCCTGCTTTCTCTGCATAGGTAACGTGTACAGTTTCAGTCTGGACTCACTCCAGGTCTCCTTGGGTTTCTAAAGTGGGCAACCGAAGGATGCTGTCTGACCATCTCACCTGAGGGCGGGCAGGAGGGGAGAGGACCTTACTTATCTAGTAAAACGCATTACAGTGCGTTTTTGTACCAAGCACAAGGCCAAATGGCCAGACAAGGACCTTGCAGGGAGGAGCTAACACGAGTCTTCCCTAGGCCTAGTCAAGAGGGCACCCAGCTAAGAAGTCTTGTAACTAGAGCTTTAGGGAAAAGTCCCCTAACTCTCTGCAACCCGGGCAGGCTAGCCTTGGCAGCCCATCCAGTGAGACAGTTAGAGAGACTGGTGGCTGTGGAAAGGCAAGGGAGATTTAGGACACTGGGAAGAAGAACCTGTTGGACTCTGGGAACTGAGTTGGGCTTTAGGTTTAAATAAAAGAATTGGGGCAAGAGGTCCACGTAATTAGGCAGACCGTTCATTCACAGTGTAATCGCCTTGATGGTTGTCTCAGCTCTGGTTCTGTAAAGTGGTCTGGAAAAGTCTTTGGGGCTGGAGAGGTGGCTCAGCAGTTAAAAGCACTTGTTCTTGCAGAGGACCCAGTTCAGTTCCCAGCACCCACACTGTGGCTCACAAACATCAGTAACTCCAGTTCCAGGGGATCTGATGCTCTCTTCTGGCCTTTGTAGGCACCAGGCACACACAAACAAAACATCCATGCATATACAATAAGTCTTAATTATAAATTTTTTTTTTTTTTTTGGTTTTTCGAGACAGGGTTTCTCTGTGTAGCTTTGTGCCTCTCCTGGAACTCACTTGGTAGCCCAGGCTGGCCTCGAACTCACAAAGATCCGCCTGGCTCTGCCTCCCAAGTGCTGGGATTAAAGGCGTGCGCCACCACCGCCCGGCTCTAATTATAAATTTTTAAAGGCACATGCATTTAATCCCAGCACTCAGGAGGCAGAGACAGGTAGATCTCTATGAGTTTAAGCCCAGCCTGGTCTACAGAGTGAGTTCCAGGACAGCGAAAGCTACATAGAGAAACTGTCTTGAGAAACAAAACAAAACAAAAAGTCCTTGTTTGGGTGGACATGCTGATTCTTATACGATCTTTTCATTTATTTGGGTTTGTTCAGATAGAACTCACTCTATACCCCAGGCTGGCTTATAGCTCCCAGGATGTAACTCAAGATGACCTCAAACTCCTGGCAATTCTCTGACTCCACCTTCTAAGTGCTGGGATCTGGATGTGAATCCCAAGGGGTCTGGTAGTAGATGATTACTTCTGCTCCTGTGTGGTCGGACTTTCTGTGTCCCACCAACCAGCTCCTGAATCACCACACAGAGACTTATTATGATACTTGGCCGATAGCTTAGGCTTGTCTCAAACTAGATCTTATAACTTAAATTAACCCATTTCTTTTAATCTATATTCTTTTTTTTTTTTTTAAGATTTATTTATTTATTATGTATACAGTGTTCTGCTTGCAATGTATGCCTGCATACCAGAAGAGGGCACCAGATCTTATTACAGATCATTGTGAGCCACCATATGGATGCTGGGAATTGAACTCAGGACTTCTGGAAGAACAGCCAGTGTTCTTAACCCCTGAGCCATCTCTCCAGCCCCTATACATCCCCCCCCCTTTTTTTTATTTTTTCAAGACAAGGTTTCTCTGTGTAGCTTTGCGCCTTTCCTGGAACTCACTTGGTAGCCCAGGCTGGCCTCAAACTCACAGAGATCCGCTTAGCTCTGCCTCCTAAGTGCTGGGATTACCCGGGTTATATTCTTCTTTTATGTGGCTTGGTTACCTTTACTTTGTAAGGCCCATGTGTCTCTCTGTGTCTCCACCCTTCTTCTTCCCAGCATCCTTTGTGCCTGGAAATCCTGCCTAGCTATTGGCCATTCAGCTTTTTATTAAACCCATCACAGTGACTTTTTAAAAAAATATTTATTTATTTATTATGTATACAGTGTTCTGTCTGCACACCAGAAGAGGGCACCAGATCTCATTATAGATGGTTGTGAGCCACCATGTATGTAGTTGCTGGGAATTGAACTCAGGACCTCTGGAAGAGCAGCCAGTGCTCTTAACCTCTGAGCCACCTCTCCAACCCACAGTGACATATTTTTACACAATATAATCAAGTATCTCACAGCACTCCTGGCTGTGACCTCACCATTGTGGAAATTACTCTCAACTGGGTGAGGGGAATGGCCTGTCCTATCAGGCTATGCCTGTTCCTAGAACCCAAGGGGGGAACTCGGTTTGGTGGCAGGTTTAAGACGATGAATATCCCTGTGCCTTCAGCCTTGAAGGGGGATGAGGTGGGTTAGGTAGCTGTGTGAATGGCTCACATGCTGACACAGTCATTCATGAGTATAACCCAAAGGGGACAGATACAAAATGGAGGCAGAGATGCCAGGATTTCCCATTCTGCTATTAGTGACCTTGAGGTCCAAGTGAGGAATCAATGTTTTTTAGCTAGAGCAGCTTCTGCGTTCCTGTTACAGTCTCTATTAATGCCTGGCATCACACCTGCAGGGATGACACAAAGCTTCCTCAGATAGGTATAGATCTTAGGGGGGTGGTGTGGACCACCTTTAAATCCAACTCAGCTGTGGAAAACAGAACCAAAAGCCAATCCAGATCACTATGAGTGGCTAATTTCCTTTTGTAAAGGGCTGACAGAGGCAATATTTTAAAAGTCAATGCAGTTATTCGCTGTGTTAAGCACTGTATTGGACACTGGGTACTTACACAAGAACACAGAGCAGAGAACAGCCCATGCTTTAGAGAAAACTAGGTGTGTTCTTCCTCAGTCTGACCTTGGTTTTCTCTGTCATAGAGTGCTGTGAGGGTTAGCTGAGAAAACAGAAGTCAGGGCAACAGTGAACACACAATGGTGAGGTCAGACCGTCTCCAAGCTCCTCAGCAGTGTTAATCCACTCTGAAGTCTGAAGAGGAGAGCCTACGCTGATTAGTTTTAAGGCTTGTGAGGGTGTGTGTACGCACTGTCTTGTGTATGTTAGCACATGTGTGTGCACTGGCATGTGGAGCTGAGAGGATGAAGTCGGGTGTCTTCCTCAGTTGCTCTCCACCGTGTATTTTGAGACAGGGTCTCTCTCTTGAACCTACAGCTCACTGATTCAGCTAGACTCGCTAGCCAGGGAGCTCCAGGGATACTCCTGTCTCTGTCCCCCAGAGCTGAGGTTACAGATGTCTCTCTGCTCCCAGCTTTTTCACAGCTGGGGATCTGAACTCAGGCCCCCATGCCTAAGTGGCAAGCCCTTTGCTCACTGGGCCATCTCCTTAGCAACTATATGTTTTTTTTTTTCTTTTGGTTTTTCGAGACAGGGTTTCTCTGTGTAGCTTTGTGCCTTTCCTGGATCTCGCTCTGTAGACCAGGCTGGCCTTGAACTCACAGAGATTTGCCTGCCTCTGCCTCCCGAGTGCTGGGATTAAAGGCATGCGCCACCACTGCCCGGCTGTACATTTTCACAAAAGAAGAAACAGGTTCTAAAATGTACATTAATTTGCTCAGAACCACACAGCTGTGACTGTCATCACTAGGGTTTGAAGACAGTTTGCCACAGGGTTGAGAGCACAGACTGTGGACCTGAATTGCCCGAGCTAGGGACTTAGAACACATTAGTTATCAGCACTCAATGAATGGCGGTAATTCTGTTACCTGTTTCCGATCACTCCATTTTATGTCTTTCCCCCTTTTTTCAGTGCTGGGTATTGAACCCAGGGCCCTCTAGACATGAGACAAGTCCTTTAGCACTAAACTATACCTTTCCTCAGCTGCTTCAGTTTTCTTAGTAGGACTAGGAAGTAGGAAATGTCCCTGCTTAGTTAAAGAAACAGGCGTGTGTAGTAAGAGTCCTGTTGGCCCAAATACAGTTCATGTCTCCCCCAGTGCTGGCTAGATAAGTATCTGAAGGCCCGAGTGTTAAAGGCTCATCCCCAGACCGACGCTATTGGGACATGGCAGAAGCTTTAAGAGGTAGGGTCTTGTGAGATGTCTTTGGGTCAAGGAGGGATACGACCCCTTGGAAGGGATTGTAGGATTCTGGACCCTTTGCTCTTTGCTCCCAGCCATGAGGTGAACTGGCTGCCGCTACCACATGCTCCTGTAATAAAGTGCCGCCTTGCCACAGGCCCAAAAGCAATGGAGCAGCCTGGCCGTGAACTGAAATCTCCAAAACTGTGAGGCAAAGTACCAAGTACACCTTCCCTGTTTCTACGTTGATTCTCTGAGGTACTTAGTTATAGCGATGTAAGCTGACACATCATGGTTTGAGCTGGAGGCCCTGAAGTCGGCCCACTCTGCTTAGGTAGCAGGGAAGCCATTCCACT